AGCTTCCTTGATGCGGCACTACCCCCACTGGGGCCTTCCTGATACAACGCCTAGCAAGGAGATGAAGATGGTGTCTACCATAGCCGGTAAGTACGTCGCCACTCTCCTCCTTGGTCCCCTTCTCCCTCCTCTTCCTACCGGTAGAGCTCCACCATAGCCAAGGTGGAAGCTCCCRGCTTCTCCCTCCCAGCAGCGCTGTAGTGCCCAGCGCTACTCCAGCCARCGCTCCAGCAGCGTRACGCCCAACTCGCACACTGAAGAATGRGGCCGGGCTCTTTGCCCTGCCTCTTGATATAGCGRCCTACTTGCCTCCTGGGCGGTGACTTCCAGGCCGCTCGGCCTCTCCAAGCAACCGGTACCTCCTCCGTTTCGGAGGGAAACATCATTGCAGACCCTGATATTACCCGTACAGGCTCTAGACTCAGACTGGTTGGACTGGTACCGGCCTAGACCTACCCTACCGCTACTGGACTCTAAAAATGCCAACTTTGTCTTTTTGTGCTCGGCCTCCAGTACCCCTCACGCCAACTGCAGTGGGGTGCAGTATCGGCCTACCGGCCTACTTGAGTGTTTTTCCGCTACCCCAAGGGCCTCAGGGCCGCTAGCTTCGCCACTTGAGTGTTTTCCCTGCTACAACCCTCAATGCCACGGCCACWGGTAAGTACCGGCCCTACGGGCCTACCAAACAAGCAAGTACCCTTGCGGGTCCCACACACACTCATACCAACAAGCACTCAGATAGGCATGCAGGTCACAAGCACGAACACACAGACAGACTTAGAAACACAGCAGAATGCAGGAATCTCAGCAAGGCATCCATTCCATCGGCAGAACTTCAGAAATCAGAAGTGTTCTCGGTCTGTGTTTTGACGGGTCGTTACAGCCCAAACAATTTCGGAATTTTATTTGACCTCGTGACTGACTTGTGCATTTGTCTATACCCACGCCATCCCTTGAAAAACTCCCCTCATTTCCTCGCCTGAATTGGAACTTTTCCCTCCTTCCCCCTCACTCCGACTTTAAATTTTCTTAATTTAATTTTGGAAGTTCGTTCGACCTCATTTCTACTCGCCTTCCCCTCGCAGTCCCTTACTCCCCTTTCTGCGTGCCACCCTGGCTCCCCGTGACATCCAACAGCGTGCACTCCAAAATCGCGCTCGAGACGCTTGTGCCACCAATCGACTCGCTCGCTTTTACGGACTTACCGCGGCCACAGATCGTCCCTCTCGTCACGGTCCTCCCTCGACATCATCTTCATCTTCTTCATTCGTTGACTCTATATAGAGTGCAGAGTCGGTCAGCCCCTCCCACTCCATCAGTGAAGCGCTTGCGATACTAGCTCGCAATACCATGGCCGATTCGACTCACATTTCCAACCCTATGGCCACCAGTTCGGGCCCAGCCGCCGAATCGGATCGCCTACTGGCTCTCCTCGAGAACATGCAGGCCAGATTCGAGGCCAGATTAGAGGCCAAATTCACGGCCCTCCATACCGACTTTTCATCCCTGTCGGCCCTCGTGTAACAGTTGGAGCCCCGTACCAATGCACCTCCCTCCCCACCCCCCTCATCTTCATCTATGCCAGTTTCCTCTCCTTCTTCGGCTGGCGTTATCTACATGCTTATCTCTTCTACGGGTTGCATGTCCTCACCCCAGTCCCACCCTTCCTGTGCAGCCATCTCTTCCTCCCAGGTTCCCGCCCCTGCACCTCCCCCCTTAGGACCCATGGCATCTTGTCCCGCCACCTCCTCGACGTTAGTTTCCACGACACCTCCCTCATCACCCCGCGCTCCTTCGCCCCCCCCCCCCCCCCCCTTTACACCTAGGACACAGAATGCCGAGCTCCAACGCCAGCTCGCCCTGGCCCATGATCACATCCGCCAGCTCCAAGGAGGTCAACCCCTGCCTCCCCACCTTTCGACACAACGTGTTGCCCCTTTCATCTACCAACAACATCAGACACAGGCCGCTGCGATGCATTTCACTCTTCCACCACCGGCCACCACGATGTGTCAGGGACCTTTGGCCCAACTCCCTGCTCTTTCTAGTTCTCTTGCTGGTGCCACTACGTCCTTTGCCCTCTTGTCACAGTCAACTCTTCCTCTCCCTACCCATTATCAGTCGTCGATGTATGTTCCACAGTAGCGACCGGATCGCCTCCCGCAGTTTGACGGCAGGGCCTCTGAGCTCCAAGGATGGATCTCTACTGCTCAGGAGCAGCTTCGCTACCATGGTGTCGCCATGGAACTGTGGCCCGCCGAGATGTCCTCTCGTTTCACAGGTCGTGCAGTCTCCACCTGGCGCGACTTCCTCGCCCTTCGCTCACAGCGCGGCGTACATGAGGGCATGTCTTATCCTGAGTTTCGCGACTTCCTTCAACAATACTTTTCTCGCCCTACGCCAACCCGCGACCCGATTACCCATGTGGCTGAGATCAGATGGCTTGGTGGCAACAATGCCTTAGAGTCATACATCACGACATTTCAGCGTGTACGCGCGCAGATTCCCGTCACAGCCATACCCGAGGACACCATGATCCAACGATTCCACGCAGGTCTACCACAGCCATTCCAGTTGCAGATGATGGCGTATTAGATACCCACCTTACCCAAGGCTTTCAACATTGCTAGGGCCATTCATCTCACTTACGCTCCACTCGTCGGCCCCTCGCCTCAGCCCTCCGCTGCCCATTTCGCTACTACTACAGCCCCTCGCCCCTCCCAACCTTGACAGTCTTCCACATACCGCCGTGGCCCTCGCAGAGGCTCTGGACGATCCCTCTCTCGTCACTTGCATGCCCTGCTTCGTGATAGGTCGAGCGTTGATGACGACACCGCCTCAGATGGTTTTGCGAGTGACCCAGACCAGGGACCCGACCCTCAGTCCCCCGCAGAGGACGACGCCTCTTCCCACGACGACCGCCTCGTCCGGGCCCTTTCCGCCCTCCTCTGCCGTCAACCCTCATCCTCCAGGACTCACTCCACAGTCCCTCAACTACCCCTCATAGCGGGTTTTGTGTTCCCTCGCAGCCGCTTGACCATCGCTGAGAGTGAGGACCTTCGTACACGAGGCATCTGCACCCGCTGCCGCCTCGCCGGCCATACCTCCTCTACGTGCCCGTACGCAGACGCCCTCCAGAGTCACTTCGCACAGCAGGCTCGCCCTCAGGTTGTTCCCCCCATCACGACCTCCAGCGCAACACCCACCTAGCCGCGATGTCTCATTTCCCTGACCCTCCTACGATAGCAAGCATACCCGTTCACGACTCTACCTTTGCGCCGCTTGCTACTCTTCCCGATGACTTTGCCCCGACTTTATCTTTGGCTGACCCTACCAGCACTGGTATACCTTCTCCTTCCTCGCCTAGCGTCTCTCGTGATCCCCCTCCTCCACGTCCTCCTACCAGGTGTGCTCTTCGCACGGCCCGCTGCAGTGCTCCCCTTATTGCAGCCGAGGATATCATTGACTCCCTGGACCTTGAGTGTGTTAAGGTCCATCAGGAACGTCTCCGCCTTAAAGAGCGCACCCTGTTCGCGATATCTCTGCGCCTACACAATCCCGATCATACCTTACCGATTATTCTAGTGCGCCTCAAGACCTCTACTAGAGTGTATCGCCCACTATGGGACTCTGGCTCTACTGGCGACTTCATTCATCCTCGCGTAGTTAAGGAGGCATCTCTCTATACATCCCCCTACCCTTCAACTGTCACTGTCACACTTGGCGACAATCACGCCAAATCCTTTGTCGACTATGTGGTGCCTGATCTTCCGTTTTCTTTCCCCTTGCGTATGCCCCACAGCCTTCGCAAGGCCCCTCGGTTCCATGACCAATGGACCTTCGACGTCATGGAAACCCTATACGATCTTGTTCTCGGCACTGCCTACTCCCATCAGTTCGCCCATGCTAGCCGCTATTGGACCCAAAACGATCTCGTCCTCGACGCCAAGGATGGAAAGCAATACCGTATTTCGTTGTTGGACACATCGGACTGTACACTTCCCCCCCCTGTTAATGCCACCATTTGTACACCTACCCAGTTCCACCACTTCCTTCGTCAGCCTGATGTAGAACTTTATATTGTCGACATCACGGATCTCCTTACCTGTGACTCCATGCATCAGGACGTTGAGTTGGTCGAGCTCGATCCACCACCTCCCGAACCCCCCAACCCTCCGGATTCCTCAACTTCCTTACCCTCCTCTACCCCTGCTAGCCATCTCACTTCCTCGCTTCCCTTACCACGGATACACCCGCAGTCCCCACCTCCACACAGACTCCCTCCACCTCTGCTTCAGATGCCGCCGCTGCCAAGGATTTTGACACCCTTCTTTCTTCCTTGTTGCCTAGCGTTGGTGCCCTCCTTCGCGAGTATCGCGATGTTTTCCCACCATCCGGCTCCTACAACAATATTCCTCCCATGCGCGATATCGAGCACCACATCCAGCTCGAGCCCAACTATCGCATTCAGAATCGCGCCCCATATCGCCTTTCGGTTCCTGAAGCCCAGGAACTCAAGCGCCAACTTGAGGAGCTGCTTGGTCAGGGCTTCATTAAACCGAGTACTTCCCCATGGAGTGCCCCGGTCCTCTTCGATCACAAGAAGGACAACACCCTTCGTCTCTGTATTGACTACCGCGGTCTCAACCACTACACGGTCACAAACAGCTATCCCATGCCTCGCCCGGATGATCTGTTTGACCGCCTCGCTGACCACCATTTCTTCACGAAGATCGATCCTCGTAGCAGATATCACCAGATCCGTGTAGTCGAGGAGGACCAGCCCAAGACCGCTTTTCGTTCTCGTTTCGGGCACTATGAGTTTACCGTCATGGCTTTTGGTCTCCGTAATGCCCCCGCCACTTTCCAGACGGCTATGAACACGATGTTCCAAGACCTCCTTGAGGACTTTCTTCTAGTCTACATTGACAACATCCTGATCTACAGTCGTACCTTAGAGGAGCATCTGATCCACCTTCGCACTGTCCTGCAGCGACTACGCGAGCACGGGTTCTATGCGAAGCTTTCCAAATGCAGCTTTGCTCAACCCAAAGTCGACTTCCTCGGGCATCAGGTATCCGAGCACGGCCTCCACATGGATGACTCAAAGATCCAGGCCATCGTCAATTGGCCTACCCCTACATCTTTCCCCGCCCTGCGTAGTTTTCTTGGTTTGACCAACTACTATGGTCCTTTTCTCAAAAACTACGTGCAATATTCTTCCCAGCTTACCCCTCTGACCCGCAGACATCTCCCTTTTCATTGGACCCCGGCTCACGAGGATGCCTTCTGCTCTCTCAAGCGACTTGTCACGTCAGCTCCTGTCTTACACTTACCCGACACCTCGCGTCCATTCATCGTCACCACTGACGCGTCCGACTTCACAATTGGAGCTGTTCTCTCCCAGATCTACCCAGCCCCTTCTACTTCTCCCGATTCCAAAGAGTCCCGCCACCCTTGCATTCCTCGCTTTCCTCCTCCACCTCCAGCGACTGCGGCTCATTTTGCACCCATCGAGCCCACTTCCTTAGGGGCCCCAGCCCCTTATATTCCTGACGTCACTGATGACGGTACAGTTGAGTTTTGTGATGGAGAGTGTCCGGTTGCTTATCTATCTCAACAGCTACTTCCCGCTGAGCGTAACTATACTGCCGACGAGCGTGAGGTCCTTGCGCTGGTTTACGCTGTTAAGAAGTGGCGTCATCACTTGCACGGTCACACTTTCATCGTTTTGACGGACAACTCTGTCCCCGCCACCTTCCAGACGAAGCCTAAGCTCACTTCTCGCCAGGCTCGTTGGTGGTGTGATCTCTTAGAGTTCGACTTTACCATCAAGAAGATTTCCGACGAAAGCAATCACGTCGCAGATGCCTTATCCCGCCGCCCCGACCTTCAGTGCGAGGATCGTTAACTATCTGCTATTTCAGCTCCCACCATCCACCCCGCCTTTCTGGATGAGTACCGCCGCGCATACACCTAGTGCCCCGAGTTTCAGTCCATCTACGCTGACCTACAGGCTGGCAAGTTCGTCCCTAACTTCCAGCTCGATCCCTCTGGACTCCTATACTGGCTTGGTCGCCAAGGTACCCGTACTCCTCGCTTATGTGTGCCCTCTATTGGCCAGCTCCGCGTTCGGGCCGTCGTTGAGTGTTATGACCAGCACGCCGCTGGTCATCTCGGTGTCTTCACGACACTTGACCGCCTCTACCGCCATTACTACTGGGACCACCGTCGTCCCTTCACTAAGGAGTACGTCCGCAACTGCAGGATCTGCCAGGAGGCCAACATTCCCAACCCCCCCCCTTACGGTCTTCTTCAGCCCTTAACCATTCCCACTCAGCGTTGGACTTCTGTCTCCATGGACTTCATCGGTCCTCTTCGTCCCCCTACCCCACGAGGCCACGACGCCATCTTCATCGTTGTCTGCCGGTTGACTAAGCATGCTCACTTCCTCCCTAGCAAGTATGCTAGTTCCGCCAAAGACATCGCCTCCCTATACTTTAACCGCATTGCCATTCATCACGGTCTTCCCACTAGCATCGTCTCTGATCGCGATCCCCACTTTACTTCTCACTTCTGGCATGGACTCCATGAGATCTATGGCTCCGAGCTCCACCTCTCCTCCTCCTATCACCCCCAGTCAGATGGACAGACCGAGGTCACCAATAAAACTCTTGGGAGTATCCTCAAGAAGTTTGTTGAGAATGACTCTGATTGGGATCTCCACCTTGCTCACGCAGAGATTGCTTATAACCATGCTATTTCGCCTGCCACTGGCATGTCTCCCTACTACTGTGACTTGGGATACCATCCTCGTGTCCCATCCGACCTCCTCCGTCCATCTCAGATCCATCCCGACACTAAATGCCCTGCCCTCGATGACTGGGTAAAGGAGATGGATGCGCTTCTAAGCAAGGCTCGTGAGAGCATTGCTGACTCCTAGGCTCGCATGGTCGCCATCCCTTCAAAGTTGGCGACAAGGTTCTTGTCGACGCACGTCACTTCCAGCCCGAAGCCGACACGCTTCGGAAATTCAGACGTCGAGATATTGGACCATGCACCATTCTTGCACCCGCCGGCCCCAATCATGACTGTCCGGTGAGCTTCAAATTAAAGCTCCCCGATTCCATGTACCGCGCTAACTTACATGATGTATTCCATGTATCTCTTTTGCGCCCCTTCAGACACTGGTGCCCGCCTCAGGTCCTCCTTCCCCTGTGGATGTGGTTCCGCCTGTTATTGCAGTTGATTCCTCTCGCCCTCAGCGTACCCATCGACTTCCTTCTCGTTATCGTGACTGATCTATACCCCCCATACGCTCTCTATCTTTTACCATTCCTGGACACTTATGCAGCAACTCCTGGTTTCAGCTTCTACATTCGGCTTCTACATTCGACTTTCGACCTCAGTGCTTCTCCTCAGTACTAGAGTACCTGTCGCATTGTTCCGGACTTCTACTCGGTTCTTGCGGTACTCCTACTTCATCCAGGCTACTTCGGTTCGACTTCAGTCTGGAGACTCATCAACTGGACTACTTCACTTTTTCGGCTACAGAGTTCCCATCATTCCCACCTATCCACCACCCTCGAGCTTACCCTTCAGTCGCATGATGACCCCTATTTTCCCTGTCTATGTGGGTGTGTCCGTCTGTCGTCCTTCTGCCTTACCGTATGTTGCGCGCCCTCCTCTGGAGTGTACGTTTTCTTTGCTCGCGGCTTTTGGCCACATGTCTATGTCGGCATAGCCCTCTCTCTCCTTCCAGGCTCACCTTATGTGTGCTCCCTTGTGTGAGTGCCCTTCCCCTTTCAGCTGGCGGTACTCGTTTGATGGTTTCCATTCAGCCCAGTGTCGTGCTGTTACTCTCCCTCTGAGCCTGATGACCCTTACCTGGTTGTGTGGGTGCCCCCTTGGAGTTTGCTCTGAGAGCTGTACCTGCCGCCTTCCCACCCATTCCTACCTTTGCCATGTAACTGAGTTCCCTTCTCTTTTGTTCAGGTATTGTGCATTGTGTACAGGGCACGTGAGACTGTGCCACATTCGTTTTCGACTTAGGACGTTGGTTTAGATATTCTTTGGCCTTTAGGGCCCTGGTGTTGATTTATATTCAGCCTCTTTGGCTCAGGAGACATTTTTCTCTTTCTTGGCTGACACAGGTCAGACATTTTTCTCTTTCTTGGCCAACACAGGTCATACATTTTTCTCTTTCTTGGCCGAGACAGGTCAGACATTTTTCTGCTTTTTGGGTCGACTCAGACCGGACATTGTTGCATAGATTTGGCTTGAGGCTTAGTCTACATTGCATCTCTTTTCCTGCATGGAGCTTGCTCCACATCTAGGATTGTTTCCTTTGTCGTTCCTTTTGGGTTTCCGCTATTTCAGCGGAAAGCGTGTTTGATGTATCGCTTGATCCATTCACAGGTCCGAGGATCGTGTAGCGGTACCCCTACGGCCCGACAGTGAGACCGGATCAGTTTCAGGCCCTCGGCCTGACCCTGGTCCGGTACCAGGTTGTTTCCCGTACCTGGACCTAGGCCGGTATATCACTTCGGCCTAGGTCCAGGTCCGGGGTCAGTTGGTTCATTCAGTTGTTCGTTCTTTCATTGAGCCGAACTGGGACCTTCACCCAGCTGTTGCTTTTCGTGTGTGTCCATCTACTCTCTCTCTCTCTCTCTCTCTCTCTCTCTCTCTCTCTCTCTCTCTCTCTCTCTCTCTCTCTCTCTCTCTCTCTCTCTCTCTCACCATCTCCGCACGTGCCCTCTTCACGTGCGTCACAATGTGTGAGTAATCATATCTCTCAAGGCTCTGAATGTTTGGGAGAAGAATGTCTTTGTCTTTGCTTGAGGGCCATGGAGTGTGGGTTGGAGGACCGGCCCAAATTTGATCTAGTCTAAAACATTTATAAGAGAGGCTTGAAAACTGAAAAGCGTGCAGATGACGTCTTGATAGGTTGCTTTGATTCTCTAGCGGTACGTTTATGCTGGGCTTCATCTGCTGGTAACATGTGGGAGTTCATTACTCTTTTTCTTTCAATGTTTTTTGAACTTTTTCTATATTGGTCTGGATGGATGATTTTTTATCCCCTATGATTTCAAGTCTGCCTCGTTGATTTGTGGGTCTATTGGGGGTGTGCTGCACCTGCTGTCAATGAGGTGCAGTGTCCCATTTGATACAACACAGAGTATTATATCATAATTGTCATCCTTGGCGTCC